TCAAATATGCTTTTATAATAAGGATGATTCAAATTTTCAATCATTTACTTAAACAACAAGAGTGTCTACCACTTAGGTCACTTTGAATTAGTAAACTGTAATTTAATCAATAAAAGTATTATTAATTTTAAAAAGAGCCAGGAATATTTGTATTTGTATAAACTTAAAAATTCTAAACGTAGTTTATATGCAAATAGATAGCTATTTTAAGTTATGAAAAGCTAATATCACCATATAATACTTTTTTTTTTCTTACCAACAGCAAGTAATATATGAAAGATTAGCTGAGTACAGGAAATATTTTTGAAACTTAAAAATTTTAAAAATTAATCCACGATTGAAATATAAAATATTTGTATAAAACTAAAATTTCATAAAAATAAATTTTTAAATATAAATATATTTCATCAAATATTCAAAATAATACTAATATTCCTTGCTTTTACAATTCTCTTTGAAAAAATGACAATAAAATCTCCAAAACTATATAAATAATAATTCAATTCCTTAAAATTTTGTAATTTTACTGAAGTCCTTAGATACTTTTGTGTCAATAAATTTTAAAGTAAAAAAATTATTTTGCCCTTATTGAAAAATAACATGCCTTAATTATAAATTTTATTTTGTGAATCATAAAAGTTGAACAAGAAATTATAATTTGTTAAATGTAATTTTTATTATTGAAAAATAAACTCCAATCACATACTTTTTTTTTGAAGAAATAATAATTTTTGTTTTGTAAATTGTAGGAGTTGAATAAGTAATTACAATTTTTTAAGTGTAATTTTTATTATTGAAAAATAAGTTCTCAAAATAATAAACCACATTTATTATTTTTGTTGAAAAAATAACAACTTTTATTTAAAGAATTATAAGAATTGAATAAAAAATCATAACTTATCAATAAAGTTAAAATGGTATTTTCAAGTCAAAATTTATTGACATTAAAATCTCTAAAAACTTTAATAAAATTATGATATTTTAAAAAATTAAATTATTATTTATATAACTTAAGAAAATTTTATTATCATTTTTTTAACTTTCTTTATTTTTTCCCTCTTTTCTTTCTCTTGTTCCTTCATCATTATCATCTTTTCCTTGTTTCTTTTTTCTTTTTCTTTTGTTTTTGTTTTTTGGGGCATGGGGGACGATTTCTTCCCTGCACAGATCTGATGCTGTTGGGAAATGGGAATGGATGAGTACCGATGCACGATAACGTGAGAATCAGTCGTAAATAAATTATATATATATATATATATACTCACTGTCTTAAAAAATATAAAATATATTTTAAAAAACTTAATATTAAAAAATATAAGCATTTATAATCCTTTAAAATATAATTGTTATTTTTTAAAAATATTTTTATTAATAATAATTTTATATTTATTATAAATTATTTAATTAGAGTAGATATGAAAAAATAAAGTTAATTTAAAAATAAATAATTATTTTATTAAAGAGTAAAATTTTATTAAAAATATTTTATATTTTTAAACAGAAAATATATATTTCTTGGGGATTCAGACCTCTTTGTCCACCAAAGCAAAAATGGTTGGGTCTTGGATATGGAACCATCATTCATGCCTTACGGAACAAGTTGATAATTTTTCCCAGTTAATGATTACCGCAAATTATATATTTTATAGTTGATAATTTTTCCCAGTTAATGATTACCTCAAATTATACATTTTATTTTAAAAAATGTAGATCTATGCAATTTGCATGGATTTATAAATTTATAATAGTTAAATTCTAAATAATTTTGTTAAAAAATTAATTATTAATATTAATTTAAACAATCATAAATTTATAAATTTTAATTATAAATTAGATATTTACATTTTAAATATAAATTTTAATTTACAATTAAATTTTTTAATTATAACTGTTTGAATTAATATTTATAATTTATTTTTTAAAAATTTTTTGTCAAGGAATTAATCATCATGAATTCCTAATTTTGACTTTATTATCATTTTCTCTTTTGAGAAACATGGATCCTACATGAAATTATCAAATTTAAGTAAAAATAATAGGACAAAAAAATATAGTAAGGTGTTCATATTTGTCCCAGTTGTCCTAAATCGAGATGGATTTATCCCATTTCAATAGAAAATGAAACGAGATAAAAATATGTCCGAGATGGAACACAGATTTACTATTGCGATGTTTTGTGTTCCATCCCATTTTAAATATAAAATAATATATTTTTTTTATTTAAAAATATAAAATATTTTTAATTGAATCTCATTCTAATAAAATAGTTACTTATTTTTAAATTAGTTTTTTTATATTTATCTATTAAATATTCTATTATTGATAGGGACACTTTTAAAAATAAAAAAATAATTACACTTTAAAAAATTAAAATTATTTTATATTTTTAAATGAGAAGGATATATATATATATATATTATTAATACTTTACATATTTATTCGGTGAGAATATAATAAAATTGTGTATATCTATCCGCGTGCGAGCACTCTTATTTATGCAGCAAGAATACTCTATTTCTCCTCAACTTTGACTTTCATCATTTGCTGTGATGCTGATAATTTATCGTTGTGAAACACTGTCATTGCTAATACTGGCTTTATAATCTGATTTTATAGCTCATAATTTATTATTGTAAACTTCTTCATTTTGGCTGTGTAAATCTGAATTTATAGCTGATACTATTCTAAAACCCATTTATTTAATATTAAAAAATAAATAATTTTTAAATAATTTAAAAACTCTAAAATCGTCTCTAATTTGTGAAGAAGCTTTTCCCTATTAGAGAGAACGGAGGTGGATTAAAAATATGTAAAACTTAAGGTGTGTTTAATTAAACGGTAAGCTATTTTAGTAAAGTAAACTATCATCAAACATACTTAATATAAAGAGTTTAACATTCCCAGCCTTTATTCTTTCTTGATTTTGATTTAACAATGAAAATGATTAAAACAATTCCATCCAGTTTGATTTATTTATTTATTTACTGTAGTTAGTTTAATACTGTTTTTCTCTTAATTTTATAACTTGTTTGCTGTCGCCTATTATATATATATATATATATATATATATATATCTTGAAGCATAAGGCTTAATTCACTCTATAACGCAAAAATGGCGACCACACACACCTTTTAGAAAACATTAAAGCAACCTAAGGAGATCTCATGTTACTGAAATCTTACCTTTGGTAAATTCAGTTCAAAATACTGTTTTATGTTCATTAAAATCACTGTTTTTTCTACAGTACATAAATTATTTACAATTTTGTTATATTTTTTATAACGATAACATAAAAACCCACAATTGTGTGATAATTTATAATTCTGCATGTTAGATTATGAAATACTTACTTCAATCCCATTGTATAAGACATTTTGGTGGAGATTTGCTATATTAAAATATAAGACATTTTGATAAAAATAAAGTTTTATTAATAATTTTTTTAAATATCACCACTTTCTAATTATTTTTCTTTTTCTTTAATTTTCTTTCAACCCATTGACTAACAAGCATTAGATGCAAATTCAACAACTTTTAGAAACAGATAAATGAAAAATAAATTTTTGGACGGGGTAATTTTCAAATTGTTGTGTATTTGACTTTTTTTTAACAGAGTATATTTGATTTTAAATTGTGATAGTGATTGATGTAATTCTATAATTAGTATTAAGTTGTATTCTTTCACTTTAAATTGTGATTGTTTTAACTCAATGATTAAATTTATATACTCATATTATTTTGATTTTATACTTAACAAATTATGTAATTTAATAAATGTTATTTAGATCTCTCCTTCATCTTATATCTTTTTTATCGGGATTTCTCAATTATTAACATAACTTGGGATGAAACAAGATGCATGCCAAGGTTATTTTGATTCCGTCTCATCAACACCCCTAAAATATATAATCCAATGTAAGTTAAGTATGTCAAACTAAACTACTATTAATATGCCATCACTTCTTACAACATCATTACATACATACATGCATAGGTCCATAATATTCTCTATTCTCATTTTATATGGTATTTTTTTGACAAAGATGTATATATCAATGAAGTTGATTTAAAAATTTTATAATTTTAATTCTTATGCAAACTTTCTAAAAATACTCTTGATTAATAAGATGTAGGGAAGGAAATATATTTAAGAAGTGAAATAATAAGTAATATTGAAACAATTATCATTAATAAAATCTTATTTTTTAATATGTCTTATATTTTGAAATATTAAATTACTTTAAAAAAATATCTTATAAAATGGGATGGAAGGTGTATAACTTACTTTTAACTATTTTATCAAAATATACTTTATCAAATCACCTCCAAAAATGTGTTATGAAACGCTTTATATTTTGGAATACCTAAACTACTTTTTCCCCCTTCATTCCAAGAAAAATTAATTACATTATTAAAATTATAAAAAAAAATTGATTTCTTTTTTTTCCCCTCCTAATAAATACTATAAATTTTAAAAAAAATGGAAAGTGAGAAAAAGCATATTTCTGGGATTAAACAAATGACACTTCACTTTTACAAAAATAACTTACATTACATTTTGGACCATAGACCTCTTTTTTTTTAAGGGTAAAAGGCTACGAAATGCAAATTAGGGTATGAGTTTTCCTTTTTCTTTTCTTTGCTCTTCAGCTTATATTGCTTACTACATGATTACTTTATTTCTCATACGAGTGATTTTTTTTTTTTTGAGAAAATCTCATGCAAAGGCCTATGAAAAATATTATTTGTAAACAAAGATTAATAACAAATCATTATTTAAGAGAAAACAAGGCTCTGTTCCCATTTTAACAATAATTCCTTATTGGTCTTTATCCATAAATATCATTCTTCACATGTTTTGGATGGAGTTTTCCCATTTCTCTAATAGAAGGGAAAAAAGAGTGAATAACACATTACCAAAAACATAATACACTAGCTGTCTCTACTCCATCTTTTAGTTTTTGCAGTAAATATTCTTTATCAAGAAACAATATTTGAGACTGCATTAAAACATTTAGATTCACCTAAATCCAAAGTTACAAATTCAAAATTCTTACAACTCAATTTCTACTCAACTTGTTGGATATCGACCGCATTTTAAGATTATATCTCAAAAAAAAAAAAAAAAAAACTATATGAACCTCTCAGGCTCTGATGATATACAATATTAGGCCCATGTTTGTTAAGTAGAGAGAGAAAGAATAACTCTAAGCTACAATACATCTTCCTCATGCTACTTCGGATAAATGACAGATTTCCCTAGCTGGAATCAGAATCCGGGTCTCCATCCACAATATCAGGCAACTCATCATCATCCTCAGACGAATCATCAAGATGATCCAATTTAGGTGCAAATTCATGATCATTGTTCAATTCTGAGGTTCTTGGCATTTTGCTGCCAAGGTAAGCTGGTTCGCTGTCTTTGTTAATGGAGGCTTCTTGACTTGATTTTATTTGACTTCCTATACGAGGCACTGTACTGTCTGAAACAATCTTCTCAGAAACTGGCTCAGCAAGAGGAATGCTTGTGCAAGACATGGGGTCCTGAAATTGCGTGGTAGATTCACCCGGATGGGCTGACTTGTTGACAATTTCATCCTCAACAGCTCTCATTTCAGTATCTGCACAAGTGGCAATCGCAGAAACCTTCTCGCTCCTCTGAGGTGTTTCAGTGTGCACAGTATGCAATTTCAGGTCATTATCTCTGGATATCCTCCCAGAATGCTCTTCTTCAGATTGCTTTGTACCCTCAGCCAATGGAACATCTGGCTCTTCTAGCCACTTTTGGCATAAATCATCATCTGATTCAGGAGTATCATATCCCACTTGCTGAAACCCGAATGGGTTAGTTTTGCTCCGGCCAAGAGCATAACCATCTCGAAAATTGCTGCGAGCTTCACTGAAAGAATTTGGAATTGGAGGATAGTCTACCAATGGAAGTGCCCTTGGATGTATAAGCACTTCCAATGCTAAAAGTGCATAGGCGCAGAACTCAGAGAGTTTCGTTCCAATTAGTTGCTTTCCTGCACAAAATAGATTCCATGCAGTTAAAAATAGTTTTGTATTGAAGTTTCAAGAAAACACGGGTATGAATTATTCTCATGAAATTAAAAGGTCAAAACTTTTACTTTCAGATCCAAAAAGTGTAAGCAGTGTCTGGTTAGAATGCAATTTTCACAATCGATAGTGACTGGAATTAGTTGATGATCATCAAACTGTGGTAGGGACAAAATTTGAATCAACAAACTACTTTAAATTGAAAATTTTGGAGATCATATCGAGGGCGACAATTTAGTAAAGGCTTGAGAATGGATTTCATGACTCTCATGCTATCCTAACATAGGCAAAAAAAATGCACATACAACACTGAAAAAGTATCGGATTTGGATCCAGTGAATGGCTTAAATCTACTCATTAAATTAGTGTCTCACATGATACGATAACAATCATTTAATTTAATTAAGTGGCTACAAGACATTTTGTCATATAATACTATGAAAGTATCAAATCTCAAATTTTTGGAAGGGACAACACATGTGAGGGATGCTTTAATCACGAGGATTGTTTTTAATTTTTGGAGGGAAATGTATTTTGATAAGTTTCAAGTATTGATGAAATCCCATGGCTAAAATCAAAACACTTATTGAGTAGGCCACTCATTGAATCCGAATCCAAAAGCATCAAGTTTACGATTAACAAGGAGTACTGAGCTAATATTGGTGGTGTGAGCCAGTATTCACTGGAATAAGTGGCACTCTAGAGAGGAAATTTGAGCAATCACCATTGTTATGAGGGTCCACCATAAGCTGTCCTAGATAGAATTAAAGTTCAAATACCATCTATTGAGCATGGATTGGGGGATCAATTCACCTATTTTCGCACTGCTCAACTTTCAAAGGAATTAATAAAAAAAAAAATCACCTAATCTACACAGCAAAGTTACAGAACAAAACGTTCAAAGAAATAGAAGCATCAATCCAAATTGATGTTGAAGAATTTTCTCATTTCCGCTATGAAGTCCAAAGGTACGAGAAAAGTCCAAATGTATATGGAGTTTCTAGCTGAACAAGTTACTATCCTTCAAACCATGAAAACACCCGCTGCAGTCTCGTCAACACTAGATTCTTTATTTTAGGATACTAGTACTAGTTCAATCCAACACAAATGAACTTTTTTCAAAACGATAAAACTTTGCCACTCTTCCTATTTAGATGTCACTCCACTGATTGAATTTTTTATAGAATTTCATTGAGAGAAGATACAAAGCCAGGTGTTCAAACAGCTATTCTCCTGAAAAATAATGTTACAGAACAAGAAAGTTAAAAATGCAACATTGCTTCCCATTTCCCGTCTCGAATTTTAAGCTGAAAACCACAATGAAGATACATACATATTCCTTGTCCATAGGTCATAGATAGACTCCCGTAATTGAAACTATACAGTGACTGGTAGTAAATATACTTAACCCTCCAAGTTTTATCTACTACAACTCCGTAAGGTATAAACCCTGTACCAAATTTCACAAGACAAGAACTGCTAATCTTCCCAATAGTAATTGGCACAAATATTTTTTTTTTTTCCTTCAGATGCATAAAATTTAATTATTTGCTACTTTTTGATTACTTATAGATATCCTTCTATTGGAGGCAATCTTATTCAAGGCACGGTTGAGCACTAAATGTGGATAACTCTCCCAATGAGAATTCAAACATTGTTCGCCACATTGTGAGGGACTAGGCCCTTCCGCTAGACCTAACCTTTGTTGGTAATTATTTGCTACTTTTACTATGAACGAAAATATCAACAAGAGTCTTTATCAATATATCTATGTCTATATCAAGAAGAATGAAAAGTGTTCATGTTAATGAATAAAATTACCTCTGTGGAAAAGTTGAAGACCTTGAGCTAAATGTGGGGGTCGTGCTAGAGAAAATGAAAGAAAAGAAGCCAAAAGAGCACCTAATGCAGCAAGCTGTAAATCAGCAGAAGTAACGGCAGACTCCTTTTGCTCAAACATATTTATTTCCTCACCGACCCGTCCTTCTTCAAAAGAGTCAATTGCTATGGCTATCAAAAGATTGTCAACTTTTGGCCTCCATGTCTCAGATTTCAAACTTCCAGCCTGTCAAAAACAATAAAAATTTTATGCATATTAGTATTCTATTCAAAGTTAAGAAAAAAGCCTGTTGCAATCACTTGGATCATTATTAAAAAAAAAAAAAATAAGATGTTTTGTAGAGCTGTGAATAGAGGATTTAATTAAATGTAATTCTGCAGGTTTCCCAACGTATGCATTCAAGTCTATGGTTTGCTGATGATACCACCCTTTATTTGGAGGTTTGGCAGGACTCAATGTGTGTTACAATTCTTTTCAGATTCGTTCCTCCATAGAACATTGCCAGATTCTTCAACAGCCTCTCTTTTATAGGAGAGGATGTTTACATATCTTATTATATGCAAAGAGATTGAGCTGCTCTGCTGCATTTTTTTTGTTAAAGTCTTTTCTGATCATTGTCCTTTTCACTATCATATTTCACCAGGAAGATTTATCATTCTCCAATATTCTCTCACTTTACACTTTGCAAAAGATTGTTAGCAAGCACAAACTTGGCTTCACTGATGATGTGGAAATTAGGGGGGCAAAAAGGCAACGAAGGAGGGGAAACATATATGAGAATGTGAAATATAACATACCACAGTGATAAGAACCTCTAGTGCTTCAAGCGCAGCTATCCTCAGGGAAATTGGAGTTGCCAGATAGTTCTTTGGTGCATTTGCTGCAGAAACGTCAACTTCATCATGCTCTTGATGCTGAAGAGAATTTGTCATACTCTTGTGCTTCCTTTTTCGACTTTGTCTCTGTAGCAATGCTTTAGTAGATGCATTTGAATTTGAAAGACTCAATTCGCCAGGCCCCTTACTCCTGATGGTACTCAAATCAACGAAGGCATTGTTGACAACTTCCTGTGCAAGGCATAAAGCCATCCCTGTTCACAATGACTAATTAGCAAACCCAAGCTAGCCTAATATAACAGGAAAAACAAAATTGATTTGGCACCAAACTTGAAGAGTATAAAAAGGACCATTCCTGCTGTCTACAGGAAAAATAAGAAGGTAGTATGAGGGGATAAAACCCAACAGGGAGATGCACAGACAAAGTCAAGATTATGGAAATTACAAATGCACTGGAGAGCTTCTGTTTGTTACATACAATTCAGTCATATTTCTAGACCTCTCAACTACAAAAACAGAAAATACAAAAATAAATAAATAAAAGACAAACAAATGGGGTAGGATAATGACCCTTTAATTCTTCCACAGATCTCAAATAATCTAGAACATTTGCATAACAAAAACTCAAACTTGTGAATCACTCTGCAGATCATTTGAACAGAAGCTGCGGAGAAGGTAACATGTGAGCTCAATTTTCTTTTCCCCAAATTCTTCAAGCTAAGACCTAAAAAGTTGTAAGGCTATGTTCATGGATTGAAAAGTAATATGCAAGATAAATAAGAACTGAAACTAATAATATTATGGACTTCTGTACAGCAGTAATTAGAGGATGTGAACAACAAATATGTCACTATTTTTTTACTACATGGCATTGTTCACTTTTTCCAATAAAAAAATGTTGGCATAGAGTCCAATGGTAAAACAATTATTCCATTGAGCTTTTAGCCATAGGATCAACAGCATAGTTAAACTCACTGAAAGAAAAATGAAAATATGAATGTACATCTCCAATGGTTCAGAAAAAGACAGTTCAAACAGCCACTCTTTGCCAACAAAATAATATCAACAGCTAGAAATGAGACATCTTTGTTGAGAAATCGTACGTACCAACACCCATGGATATAAGGAGAATTCTTGTGATAGAATAGACTTTGATTCTTAATTCCGGCAACGCACATGTTTTGAAGTACATTGTAATGATTCTTGCAGTAAACGCAGCATATGGTAACAGTTGGCTACGATACAGATATTGTCAATTAGGAGAATATTGAAATTTTGCAAGAAATAAAATACACAAAAGATAAATGCAGAAATCAATTACATACAAGTCATACATGGTGTAGAGTGGAAGATGACAATTGGATCCGGGGGAGGGGGAGGAACCCAAAAAAAAAAACAACATACAAAATGAGCATGTACTAGAAAAAGTAGGCATAATATCTTTTGAGGGGAAAATGGTAGAAAATCATTTGAGATGGTTTAGACATATACAGATAAGACCACAGTAGGCACTGGTGAAGAGAATGGAATAGATAATCTTGAACCGTGTAAAGAGAGGTAGAGGAATGCAAAAGAGAACATCCATAAAAATTGTTGACTGAGACCTCTTCATTAACAACATTCCTAAAAATTTAGTAAATGATAGAACACAATGACATCATGAAATTCACATAACTGACCCCACTTAACAGGATAAGGTTTGTTGTTGTTTACAGTAAATTGAAGCAGGAAGGTCTCACCCAAAAAAACAAAAGAAAGAAGAGGAACAATGTGGAAAGTTAAAAAAAGATTTTAGGTTGGATAAGAGACATAACTGACACTCACACAGCAGCAGTTAGAGAAATAATAGTGGCCAAATAATAGTAATTATCTTAAGATCAAAATTGTTGCCCAAAAGAACGATATTGTGAGTGAAGGATGACTAAATAATTCAATAGATCATCAGTTCAAATGGTTTGATAATATGCACAAGAACCTTCAGAAACGTGTGCACTTGGCAACACTTGACAACAAAAGAAATAACATCAACAAAAAAATTGAATAACAAAGAAATCAAAACACAACAATATATGTACAGGACAATTAGACAATGTACAAATTAAATGTCCATGAGCCTGGGAGTGTTTTGTGAAAACATTGTAGGACAAATGATTGCAAGTTATAGGCCTAGACAAAGAAAGTAAACTCAAGAAAGGCAAGATAAAGGCATTAAAGGGAGTTCAACCTTTCATGTATTTCATAAGTTGCACAGCCAACAGAACATCTCATATTTTTTTCCTTTGGTTCTACAATGGAAAGGAGGGAAGAAGTTATCAAGCAGGCATACCTTCCCACAGCCTTCACGACAGCAGTGAGCAATTCCAGGCCATATGAGTGCAAAACAGGAAGTTCGGAACAAATATTCTCTTGCCGCTTGGCAGTCACAAAGGGCATTGACATTTGTGACAAAGAGCCATTCACCATCAGTACTCTATCAACAAGGGCCAATAACATGCGAACAGGAACATTTACCTGGCAAATCATCAAATTGATTTCCATCATTCTTCTAAATCAAAAAATTTGTGGTGAAACAAATTGGACCCTCATTCCTACTCTTGAAAGAACTAAACAGTACCTTAAAGGGATACGAATTTGTAAGCATTGTGCAACAACAATGCAGAAGGCTAGAGACAATAGATGACTGCTCAGACTTTTTTGTTTCTTTGCAACTTGCTTTTTCAACATACATATAGCCTCCTAAAGCTGCAGGAGGATCTTTTCCAGGTTGAACCAATAATTTAACAAATTCATGGCGCCTGGATTCTGCAATATGAGCAAAGTAGTCAACTACTGTCATTAACTGGAACCAATAAAACAAATAATAGTGACAAATACCTTCTTCTAGACCTTGAAATGAATGACTCAATTGATCATTTATTACGACCAAAATTTTCTGCATCAGCACAAACCAGCTTTCTGCATCTCCTTTTGATTTTGGAAGTAATGCTAGGGAATAAGCTAGTTTCTGGAATTACAACACCAAACAAAAACCAGGACTTAAAATATGATTAAGATCCTGCGTATACATAGAAGCATGCACACTTTTTTTAAGAAGAGATCATACATCCAGAGAAAAGAGTTCAATCTTCCAATGCATCATGAGAAAATACTATTATAATTCAATTTTATCATGTAAGTCTGCAACAATGTCATTATAATCAGGAAATAAGGTTGGTATAACTAATTGGGGTATTTAAACTTTAATTAGGGGTTTCATTAAAGGTTATTGGGCCAAATATTCTATTAGCTCATACAAAATAAAAGTAGGGTATTTGATATCATTTAGGGCTCACTTAATAAAATGGAATGAATTGAAAAGAGTTTTTGAGGAAAAAAAGTGACTCTTGTACCCCTACTTAAAAGAATAATGTAAAGGAGATACAAATTGTTTAACGATCAAAAAGACATAGTCATCAAAAAGTAAGCAACTTCAAGGTTGAGCAACTAATTAAACATCAGGGACTGTAAATCCATGAGCAGGCCACTGGTGAAACAACCAAGAAAGAGGAAGCACATTACCTTCAACAAATATTGGCTGCATCCTCCTGAGAGGAGTTTTGAAGCAATAGCAGATTCAACCTGCATAGAATTGAAATGCTCATCAAGTCATGCTAACATTAAAAGGAGATGGTTCGCTGAATTCAGAGAACATCCAATGCTCACCCTTGACCTCCAACAGGTTATTTCACTAAGAAGCAACTACATAATTTAGTTGCTTGTTTGGCGCTATAAATATGGTTAAGTTAAAGTTTATGTACCATTCATTTACATAATACAAATTATAGAAGAGGAAGATACTGAATGTAGGCTTTACAGTTATAATCATTCATTGAATAAACATTCTGAACTGTCTGATTAATGGTTTTTGAAAGACACGACAAAGGGATTCAAATTTATGAGCATTCTTATCCATAAGATCCCTTTGAAAGTGGAAATTTCAAGAATGACCAGTCCATTGCATTAATTAAGCTTTGAACTGGTGTGTTGGGCAAAGAAGAAACATAATTCCCCACCCAAGCATCCTCCCGGAACCTGGTACAACCACCATTGCAGATTGCCAACCATTAAAGAAACCAAAGATCCATAAAATTCATATTCCCAAGGAATAAAATTCCTATGGCTTACATGAGTAGGAGTGATTGTGTTGGGCTTTCCAACAAGTGGGGCCGTGTATACAAACGGAGGCCTAAAGGAGATACTCAGGGACAGGGGAGACAAGGGCAGAAGGGGGAAAATACGGTAATTAACAAAGCCTGACAGTGTCAGGATAGTGGAGGGGGGTAAAAAGGAGGGCAGGGAGTGACAGAAGGGTAGGGAGTAGCATCTTCTTTGGGGAGACGACCTGGTCTCTCGAAAACCAGGTTGTTTGGGAGGCTCTTTCTTGTTTTCCGTTTCTGTGTGACGTTTGAGATAGGAATTAGTGTGTGTGAAGCTGACTTGTGATTGTATTCTCTACATTTTCCAATAGTAATAGAAGATACCAGTCGATTGCTCTTCATTTTTCTGTTATTGGTCTCTTTAATATCTGTTATTGGTGTTGGTTCTATCAGATTGCTGGGTTGGCAGTTTTCCTGCATGATATTGGGGTTTTGAACACCCCCCAGTGGCCACTTGTGCAGTCTATATAGTTCTGGTGAAGCAGAAATCAAGTAAACTGTAGCAAGTGCCACATTCAAAAGGATCCTGATTGTTCATCATACACCATTCATGATTTTTATTCAGAATTGTTGGCTTCCTGTTAATTGGAGTTATCAACATATAGGATATAAGTTGTATGGCTGAAATAGAGGAAGGCATCGGAAGTTATTTGTGATCATGAAACACTAATTAAGCTAAAAGGAAAGTTTTATTGAACTACTATAAGATTAACAAGTTAAGATGATAGTGAATGTTGGGTAGTGAAGAGATGGTAAGAGCAAAAAATGGGGTGGTTGCAATAAGGATGTTAAGATGGATGTGCAGTCATACAAGAGAAAACAAAATCCATAATGATTGTATACAAGAAAAAGTTGATGCAGTATCTATAGCAGAAAAAATAGTAGAAAATCGTTCAAAGTAGTTTGAACATGTACAAAAAAGCTTATAGAGACACCAATGAAGAGGGTTGAAACTTATAGTTTAGACCCAGGAAGATGTATGAGAAGACCATGAAGGACACTCAAGGAAGTTATCAAATATGATCTATTGGTGAATGATATATTTGAAAAATTGGTTGTTTTATAATACAATAGCTATCATGCAATTCACTTAGCTAATTCCACCTAATAATATAAGACTTCTTGTTATTATTAATTGGAGTTTCACAACCTTCTCCGAGGTTTGTTCTTCCCAAATCACCATTTAGTTTAAAATTTACATAAATCAGGATTCCCTGATAAAATGAAATATTATATTTTTTAGAAATTTCAGATTCAAAGGGGTTAATGGAATTTGTACACCACTCAGTTCCACTGGAAAACCCACAGAACACATTATTTGGAAATATTAATTGATAATTGAATATATTCAATTAATCATGTTCACAATGCTACAACGGAGAAGAGAGGCTTACACTGTCATAATTACGTTGAACAGCAAATGGGAATGATGTCATTATTGTACATAACAAATGAAGTGCGCCTTCCTGCATGCACCACAATTCAGATTACAAACGAATCTCCATTAAGCAAAGAAAGAAGATATACAAGAACTGAAGAGCAAAAACTATGGTGAAAAGCATGCAACGAAAATGATATTGTCAGGTCAACTGTTTGCAGCATTTAGCAACAAAGGTATTCAAGATAAACTCTTGGTCTTCCCGGCAAGCTAAAACTTAACATTTTCATCACCTCCCATTTATATATGTGTATGAGAGACAGAGTGAGGAACAAGAGGGGGGAGCAAAATTGAGCACATTCTTTTGGCATTTTCCAGTGAAATAAGTGGTTTCTTACTTTGACTCTATCAACATATATTGTTTATAAATATATTGGGCCTTTAGATATAATTCTGTTACAATGAAATCCAGACACAAATTCACTTCAAAACAAATGTTTCTCCCACTTCTCATTCCACTATTCTAGAGCTTCTCTATTTCTTCTAAGTCCTACCAAAAGAGATGTTGCCAACTGTTTCTTATTTTGGCCCAAATACCAACACAGCAAAATATGTACCTCCATCCATTTTACTTGAAGAAATTTCTTTTATTAATTATTTAGAAGAGATAATCAAACAAGTTATTAAACAAGACCTTTTGGTAAACAATATTACTAAAGATTTGGTTATTGATAAAACATAATAGTGGGGTACAATCTATATAGTTGACCTCACTTAGTGGGATAAGGTTTGTTGTTGTTGTTGTATTTAGGAGAGAAAATAGAATCATAATCTTCAAATTATGCTAGTACTACTTACCCATAAAACCTCTGAGTTGTCACCATCTAACAGCTGCAGAACTGGTTGAACAACTTTTGCAGCAAAGGAAGACCCATCTTTCTTAACATTAGGAAATCCACTCAGCCTGAATTAGAAAAGAGCATGAGGCAATAGACTCAAGACAGATCATTTTTCTTGATTTTTCCCCCAAAAGAAAAAAGTATAAAAGTAAGCAAGTTTTGACTTTTCTGAAGTAATCATTCTTAACCCACAAACAAAACCGACTCTTGGACAAGAAGCACTGAACTGGAGATGGTTGTAGTAAATATATTTTATAACACCAATATTTCAATTCCAAAAAGTGAATTTAAATTATTCAATCTTTAAGCCAAACTGCATGATTACAACAATATTTAATTGAAATAAAATGCAAAAGAATATCTTTCACCGAAAAGGGGAAAAAAGGTCCAATTTATAGTTTAGAAATTTAGCAAGCAATTGCATATACAGAATCCGAAAATTGAGAAACTTGACAATACTTTTTTTTATGTATTTAATTTAATAGTTAATAGGATATGAAAGACTCATTCCCCAATATATATATATATATATGATTTTGTGCATATGCCAAGGTGAGCAGATACAGCGTTAGAGTGAAACATTTTACTCATTACTTATCTTTACATATACTAATCTAATACAAAAAGATTTCAAGGAATTTTGTCAATCAATACCAAACATGAGCATTTTACAGGACACTTCTACAATTGTGCACTGATGAATAAGGAAAATTTTGAGTAAAAAGAAAGACCTAACCTTGAAAACAAATCGGACATCGAAGCAACAGAAGCCACCCTCAGAAAATGAGAACTTGCTGAAGACTGTTTAAATAAGTAGCAAGGAAGACATGTCACACATGGGTATATAATAACAACAACCAAAATAAATAAATAATATAAGACAATTCAAATCCAGACCTTCAACCATGCATGGAAACAAGTGATGTATGTGTTTGAGCACATACATACACTGAAAAAGAATGCAAATAGAGAGTCCAACCACGCAAGTTTCACATATACAATAGTCAAATTCTAGATGAATAAAGTAAAGACAACTGATTGATAAATGAATGCCTCTTTTTGGTATCATCTAGTGAAAGAGATCACCAAGTGTATTAATGGTTCCTATTTTTGTTTCCGAGGTCATGTATCCCTCATTCAAAACTTCCTTTCTTGTATCCCCCGTCATTATCATTCCCTTTTCCAAGATTCATTAAGGGTTGCAATGGGGTTTAAAAGAGATTATGCAGGATTTTCTTTATTCTTGCGTGGAAAATAGAAATTCAAGAAATCTTTCAAGAAAGCTTGCAAGCAAAGAAGTTAAATGCATGTAAAAACAGCTTAATACCTGCAAAAATTGTAGCAACTTCTCAAACCACTCAGAGCACGAATTTAGGAACCGAGGAGAACTGCACTCTTGACAAGTAAGACCCAGCAAAGAGATTCCTGCCCAACATTTGTCTGGCTACGACATAGAAATATGATCATAAACTCACAAGTATACCTTCCAACATCCCATATGAATAAAACTCAATTGTAACTCAAGGATAAACTATTGCATATGTGAAGAAGCAGTAAAGAGTATACAAAATCATGGCTTTTGCTCACGTCAAAAATAAAAATGCCCCAATTCATTCAAAGCGAAGTACAATCATAAAACAATCACAGTTACCATGTCGCTGGAAGCGAGAGTCAAAATGCAGTCAACCCACGAATCAACTGCAGATTTCCAGCGTTCAGTTTGCTTTAGGTCCATGTCATCGGTGAAGGATTCAGAAAGGAGACGGTGAGTCTTAATCATGGAAACAACACGAGAAAGCTCTGAGGGATTGGAAAAAGGGTGCTTCTCATCAGGAAGGTGGTCTTTGACAAGGGTATGAAGCAAGCGAGGTTTGAGTGCAACATCATACATGTTGCTGACGTGATTGAAAGCCTCCATGGGAAGATTCAAAGCTCGAAGCTTTCTATATTAGCGTTAGTCGAACTCTTGCTCCTGCTTTCCCTCTCGATAGTGCAATGCTCGGTCTCATAAAATAGGCTCACAAACCTCTCTTTCTTCCGCCACCGGCGTGGCAAAGCTAGTGCTGCTGAATCCTCAGTGAAGTCTCTGTTTCCGGGCGTGTGGGGTTGGAGAAGAAGAGAGACATGGTTGAAGATGGGTCGGGTCCATCAATGGGCTAGTTGCTCATGTATGAACACCCCTTCTTGGCCCCAAATGACGTTTTTTTTTTTTTTTCGGTACGTTATTAGATTATCTATCAATCTTTTATCTATCTATCTATTTTATTTATTTACTTTATATCTTCAAATCTTATAGGTGAAATTTGATTAGTCAATTAAATTCATTGTCACGTTTTTATTTAATTCTCTTCTTATTTCATTTAATTCTTCTTCTTTTTATTTATGTTTAGGCTTCAAACTTCTATTGAGTGTTATAGAATAATATGAGATAAACCTCTTCAAATTGTATAGAAGAAAAGTGATTGATTGATTGGTATAAATTTGATTGGTCAATTAAAATTTATTATCACATTTTTATTTTATTCTTCTTTTATATTTCTATTTCTATTATACTTAGATTCTTCTTTTATATTTAGATTAAATAGATTTATATTTATATTTTTTCAAACCTCTTCTGACGGAGAAACTTGATTGGTAAATTAACATTCTTCTTTTATATTTCTATTTATATTTAGATTAGATTTAGGTTAAATATATTTTTATTTTTATTTTTTTAAACCTTTTTAGATTAAAAATATTAGATTTAAATGAAAATTTTTTCCTTAAGGATACTTTTAGGCCTTGTGATTTTGTTTAATTAGTTTCCTTTCTTTTGCATGTTTTCATCGTCCCTTCTCTTACAGTTAAATTAAATTTTTTACATTCTAAAAATTTCATTACTTACTTTATCTTCTTTTAAGTAAATACGACTTATGCCTATTTTTGTAATTTTAAAAATTATTTTTAATTTTAATTTTGAATTGTACGATGTCATATTGTTAATTCATGCATATTCTATGTATATTTTAATCATTTAATTTAATTTTTATTTAATAGAGACTTCTCTTTTTCCAATTATTATTTTAAATATTTTATTTTGATGTTTTAAATTTAGTATATTAATTTAGTCGTGTGTGTTACAAATTCTAAGAGATTGCTTAGTTTCTATTTTCATTTTTTTGGTTTTTAAAATTTTTTTTGTATATTGCAGGTTTCAAAATTGACACTACATTTAATTGTTAGTCAAAATGCCCAGTTGTCATGGTACAACTCACCAAATAATAGAAAAAATGATGGGTTTTTAATGGAAGGGTGATCTTACTTTTAAAAAAATAATTTAGGAAAGGTATGGCCCTACTTTTCATTATATTGTGCCCAGCACACTGTCAGGCCCCACATTAGAGAAACTTGAGAAGGATCCTGGCTATATAAATAGGTGCGCTGTGCATCTTAATGGGTTAACCTTTTGGAGAGAGAGTAGTGAGCCCGTGACAAAATAGTATTAAAACCAGACTTAAGTTTGTCCAGTCGGTGAGCCCCACTAATGGGCTACCTATGATAAGGGTGTCACGGATTGGTCGGGGGAGCTATCAGATCCCACATCGGAGAGACTTGGGGAGGGTCCTGACTATATAAACGGGTGCGCTGCACGTCCTAATGAATTAATCTTTTAGAGAGAAAGTAATGGTCCTGTGATAGCTTGCTCCTAAAACAAATTTAGGGGGAGAATTAATCTTCAGCCCTACCCTATATATATAAACACATTATATGCAGTCATAGAATATCACACTTTTGTCATACAGGCATGTTTAGAATACTTTTGCTCTTTTATTTAATTTTCGAGTGTATTTTGTTTATAACTAGATTATATATACCCCCGTGTGTGCGATGCACAGGGAACAGACTATTGATGCTATTTTTTTTTAACATTCATGCTAATTTTTGTGGTTAACAGGAAATAATTTTAATATAATTTATCATGATAAAAATGTTACTATTGAAATTATATTGTTTAAAGGAAGATTTGGAAAATAGGGAGGAAATTTGAATTTGAGAGGAAGAGAAAATGCATGCTAAGAAAGAAGTGAGCAAATTTTTTTCAAAATCTTCTAAAGAGCTTGTAAAATTAAAAAGTTTTGATGACAAAATATATGCACATTAACCTATGCAACATAAAAATTTAAAAGTACAGCCTACCAATAAAAAAAATTTTAGAAAAATATTTATCAAATTTTTAAATTTTAATTGAGATGTAGAAAAATATTTAAATTAAAAAATACAGCCTACCAGTAATTTTCAAATTTAAAATATTTATAGAATTTAAAATAGATGTATAGAAAACATCTAAACCAAAAAAAAAATAACAGCCACCAATTAAATAATGAAATTTCAATGGTAATGTTACTTTTTCAATTATTATTTTAAATATTTTAATTTAATATTTTAATTCAATCGTGCGTATTACATATTCTAAGGGACTGTTTAGATTTTATTGTCATTGTCTTGTTTTCAAAATTGATACTACATTGGATTATTGGTCAAATACCTTGTTTGTCATTATAGGAGAGTTCATAGTTATTCCACCTTAACAAATAATAGAGAAGACATAGGCCTATTACGAAAGAGGTATTTTACTTTTGAAAAAATTATTTAGAGAGGATATGGCCCCACTTTTCATTATATGGTGGCCAGCATGCGCTCCTAAAAAAAATTATGGGGAGAATTAGTCTTTAATTCTATCTATATATATATATATATATATATATATGTAGCTGTGACCTGTTTTGTCGTCTTCTTTTGTTTTGCAATCATACAATATCAGACTTTTGTTATACATGCATGTTTAGAATACTTTTGCTCTTTTGGTTTAATTTTTTATTGTATTTTGTTTATAACTTCGCACAGGGGACACACTATTGAAGCTATTTTTTTTAAAACATTCATGCTAATTTTTTTAACTGGTTAATGGGAAATAATTTTAATATAATGTATCATTAAAAAAATGTTTCTATTGAAATTAGATTATTTAAAGGAAGATTTGGAAAACAGGGAGGAAGTTTGAATTTGAGAGCGAGAGAAAGATAGGTATGCTAAGAAAGAAATGAGCAATTTTTTGTTTTTTCAAAATCTTCTAAAAAGCATGTAAAATTAAAAATTTTTGATAACAAAATATACGCATATTAACCTGTGTAACATAAAAATTTAAAAGTACTGCCTACCATTAAAAAACAATTTTTTAGAAAAATATTTATAGAATTTTTAAATTTTAATTGAGATGTAGTAAAATATTAATATTGGGAGAATTGGTGAAAAGACCTCCTTGAGAGATAAATCATGCCCAAGGACCAAAGCAAATTGAAGAATCAAGTTAAATATTTTATTCATTAAATAATATGAACAAATGACTAAAATGCCCCTCTATGTTAATTAAAAAATAAAAAAAAGGAAGGCACAAAATCTGGCCACCGGAGCTCCAGCCCCTCTTCCAATAGGTGACGGTGCGCCTGCAAGAGCTCTGACTAGCTGGTGAAGGATCACCCGAAAAAGTTAGTAGCCCTTGATTACACGTAATTATCAAAGATTACTTGTGAAACTTAACAACCAAAGGGTATGAGGATTTTGACTTAGGGTGCAAAGGTTCTGACTTGGATATAAATAGCCTGGCTATGGTGTAAGGGGTCTGGCATGGGTGCAAGGGTTTAGGCTTGGGTGCAAGGTGCAATGGTTCTGGCTTACTTGGGTGCAAGTCGTCTAGCTTAGGTGCAAGGTGCAACGGTTCTAACTTGGATGCAAAGGGTCTAGCTTGGGGTGTAAGGTGCAGGGCATGTGTCATACGAACATTAATTACACGTAATCCATAATCGTTTTCATGTAATAAAGGGGCACTAACAATAATGTTCTCTCTGTGTGTTTTTTTTAACGTGTAACTCATTAGATATTACATGTAATTTTTCTCAGGTATGTTCAAGAATCTTTTCATATATTAAATTACATGTAATCAAACGCCTATGAGGCCCAAAGCATAACTCTTGAATCTCCACTATATTGCTTCGTTCCTATTGGTCATAGTGATTTGAGTCAAACTAGACTCCAAAAATATCCCATGTCTGCTTAATACCACACCAAAACCTTAATCCCTATCCCTTCTTCATCAAAAACTTGGTTCTGAGCACACAAGTTCTTCACCCCTAAACCTCCTTTCACCTTGTCTTTGCATGCCTCATTCCAAGCAATCAAGCAAGTTCACTAGAGTGTTTCTCCAAGAGCTAAGTTGATTCTTCACCTTGTCTACCATATAACCATGAGTGTTTTCATAAAGGAACTCCCAAATACTTCCCTAAGTTAGTTGTAATAGAAAATCCTAGAAGATCACTTAATTTGAGTATGATTCATATTGTCCAAAAAGAAAGCCTGAGCTTTAGCTTGACTCAACCTTATGACCAAATTCATCACAAAATTTCTCCAAATACTGTTTAATCACCTCTACTTGACTTGAACCATTAATCATTTTTGATTATAGAGATAGATTAATATCTGTGAAAATCTTGGTTTGAAATTGGTTTAAATTTTAATATGAATTGCAATTTATCAACGGTTCAAATTCAAGAATTCCTTCCAACATGGTCTTGGTACACAAATTCAGCTCCAACCATTTAAATTTATGTCTAGTCCTCAAACTTCACTTGAGATTTTCTTTATTAAGTCTACCAAGATTAATTCGAGCTCCTGGTTGCCACAGTACAATCCTAGATGATAAGTCTAAATCACTACCCTTACAAAGGTAATGATTAACCCCACTTGAGCTCTTTGAGCTTTAGTCCTTTGTTCTTAAGTAGGTAAAATAGGGATAAATAGAGTAAGTTCACAAAGTAAACTACTGCAGTGAAAAACTCTCTCAAAGAGCTAATATATAATCAATAAAGTGCAAATGTAATAAATGAAAGCACAGAAGGTCAGTAAGAATATGAATAAGGTAGTTCATGTTATAACTCTTTTTCCTTTGTCTTCATAAATAAGCTTATTTTATAGTTGAAGAGCTTGAAAGATCCGTTAGACTCATTAAATTAGCTATTGGAGTATTGAGCTTCTTTCTTATGAGTTTCTCTGCAAGTGAAGGAGATGATTAGTGCTTTACGGTGGAGTTTCTTGCTCACGAAAAGAAAGGTTATTATAAATGGCTAAATACATTTAATGTTTGATAAAAAGTATGTGAGAAGAACATCGGTAGATAAAACACAATACGGGTAGAAAGGAATTGAAACAAGATATAATATTACCCAATGTGTGTTAGAATGAATTTACTACTAGTAGAGAAGCTAGAAAAACACTCACAAATGATTTGGAAGAATTAAAACTGAGAACAAAATTGAAATGACAATGATTTAAAAAATAGATCTTCGTGAGACAAGAGACCAATACCAGTAGTGATAGCTTATTATCGATAGTGTCATTGTAAAACTCATTACTTTTAGAGGTGATCAATACAGGTAATAAGCAACTAATATTGGTAGTGATGGCTTAATACCAATAGAGATGACACAGTATGGGTAGAGAACCCAAAGAAGTGAACACGTTAAACAATAGGGGGATTGAGCAACAATAGAGGTAGTAACAAAAGAGGTAATAAGGCACTAATACTGATAGTGTCACACTTATGAGGAACAACTCATTTAGAAATTAATACCAGTAGATATAAAGGGTCTAATACCCCAAGTGATGGATGATCACAATTAAGCTTAATACTGATTGCATGACCTCACTACCCATAGAAACACTACACAAAAGTGAATTAAGTCTGACAAGAATACAACTATTGTGAAGAACATGACTGATAGGTGGTAATGATCAAGACAATATCGGTAGTGATACTCAGACAAATTTGAAATCAGAGATTAAAACAATGTAGCTCATTTTACCTTATCTTCCCTTTTCATAACTATATATATATGTGTTAAATAAAATCTTTAATTTTTTATCATCAAAACTAGGTTCAACATTGTATTCAATACCTCATATTTATCTAGAGCATCTTTCTCATTGACTTAGGAAATTATTTGTTTTGAAATTCGATATTGTGAAACAAGTTAATTATCTCCCCCTTAATTATCATTATATTGTATGTAGCTTAAATTTTCATTATATATATATATATATTATATAAAAATAAAACCAATTTTTATCTTAAAATACAGAATTACCATTTATTGTGATGGAAAAGACTGCTGCAAAACAAATTTCAATTAGGATCCAACTTGGTTTAAACTTGAATTAGTAGGTACGTAGTAACAAATGTCGAACAATTTTGCTTTAAATAAAAAGGTTGATTCTCAAACATGAATTATAGAGGTGAAATTCTAACATGTGACTAGAGCTTTGATACTTAACATGAGGACACAAGGAATTAATGTTGGGCCATACAATGGCTTGTTGATATGTCAAATATGAGTTGACTTAGGCTTAGTATGAGCAAAAATCTTACATAAGATATAATTGAGTTGGAGAAGAGGTATGAAAAAGACTCATAAACTTAAGGCCTTAAAGTTTTGAATTAAAATGTGATATTATACTCATTTACATATGTCTTCTTAGATTCATTAAGCAATCAAGTTGTGTTTTTCTCCTTTTTAGATGCTCCCGAGCCCAACATAACTTATATTGAGAATTTGGTATGAAATCATAAATTTATTTGCCCAAAAGAAAAGAAAAAGGAAAAAGAAAGAAAAGGAATAAACACAAAAAATGATAAAGTATGAAATATAAAAAGAATAAGGCTAAACAACATCAAGAGTCATACATAACTTATAAGTATCTAATCAATAAATAGTTTAGAATTCATCTAAATTAAAATTGGTAAGTGATAGAGGCTCTTGTCATTTAAATAAATGGTTAGAGGTTTGAATTTTGCTTACTCTTATAGCAGAACAACCACTTACACATGTTTAGATTTCACATTTTTAATTTTTGATATCTATATTTAAGAAAAAGGAATACAAAATGAAAATATTTTTCTAAAAATAGAAGAGAACCTTCAATCCAAATTGAAGATTGGTTAAAAGGAAATGTTGCATATTAATTAATTAGAACACTGAGTAATTAGTAATTACTAGTGTATCACCTAAAGAAAAAGGTAAAATTAATCATTAAATACTTATAGTTTTAATCCAGTTGTAACTCTGTTCCTAAATTTTGACTTGTAGTTTTAACTCAGTTGTAATTCGGTCTTTAAACTTTAATTTTTGTAACTTAGTTCCTATAATTTTAATCATTTAAAATATTAGTCTCTGTATTTTAAAACATAAAATTATAAAGATTAAAACTATTTTAAAATTTTAATCTTTATAATCTTTGTAAAGCAAAGATTATAAGGGTTTAGTAACTTAAAATATTTTTTTTTACAATATAGGGACCAATATTTTAAATGATTAAAATTATAAAGATTGAGTTAGAAAAGTTAAATTTAGGGAAATTCAAACTATAAGGATCAAGTTACAATAAGTTAAAATTCAAGGACTGTAATTATAACTGGGTTAAAATTATAAAGACTAAATGATTAATTTTTCTAAAAAATAGAGAAATAAAGAGAGGAGATTCTAAACAATCTTGTAAATGAATTAACCAATTGTCAAATGTGAATTGTGGAGGTGACATTCTAACATGTGACCCGAGTTGTGATAGTTAAGGTGAGGATATAAGGAATTAATGTCAGGTCATAAATTAGCTTGTTGAGGTGTCAAATGTGAGATGACTTTGATTCAGTATGAGGAAAAAATTCCATGTCAGATAGAGCTAGGTCAAAGAAGAGGTATGGAAAAGAGTCATAAATTTAATGCTTTAAAAGTTTTCAATTAAGATGTGGTCTCATATTCATTTACACGTGTTTTCTTAAACCCATTGGATGATCCAGTTGTGCTCTTCTTTTCGAGATGCTTGGGCCCAACATAACTTGTATTGAGAATTTGGTATGTAATCTTAGATTTCTTTGCCCAAAAGAAAACGAAAGGAAAAGAAAGAAAAGGAATAAAGACAAAAAGTGACAAGGACGAAACATAAAAAAAAGAAAAAGGCTAAACAACATTGAGTCATACATAACTTATTAAGTATCTAATCAATAAGTGGTTTGGAATTGATCACATAGAAAGATAAGGTCTCTTCTAGCAAAACGACCACATACACACGTCGTTTAGATTTTAATTTTTTTTATTTTTTTATATCTATAGTTAAGAAAAGGAATACAAAATGAAAATATTTTTGTAACAACAGAAGAGAATCTTCAAAAGGAAATGTTGCATCTTAATTAGAACACATCTCTTCAGAGCAACGCTGAGTAGTTAGTAATTATATCACTAGCGTATCATTCACAAATATATATATATATATATAGAGAGAGAGAGAGAGAGAGAGAGAAGATTCTAAACAATCTTGTAAATGAATTAATCAGTTTGGCATATAAAATGTGAATAACAGGTTCGATAAAAGCAAGGATACAGCATTTTGAGGATTATCTCTGCATCAGTTTCCTGTCAACATTAACTGAAGCATAAGGTATATAATTATCTCTTTTCCCGTATTTCCTGCAATATCCGCAATCCAACATGTTTTGCTCATTTTAAAATTTTTGTTTTGCTTTTTGCCTCCACCATTATTTTAACTTATGATTGTGATTCCATCTAGAAGTTGAGTTATGGCAACAATAGGATTTTATTGTTGTTGTAAGTGGGTGAATAAAATGTCAATTTGATGCACAAACAGTATAAAGTTAAAGGTTAAATAGATAAACCGAGTCACATTTAATTCAACTGGTTGAGGAAGTTATGTCAGCTTATCTTAAGATCTTGAATTTGAGTTATGAAATATGTAGTTGCGTTGAATAAATATACTAAAGGTATAGGTTCTTGTGAGGCCGTTGTTGGCAATAACAATTCCAAACAATGAGAGTTCAAATCACTCTAAATGGAAGGCAATAATTCCCTCAGATTTTGGGTATGGAAAGATGGAATTTAAAAAAGAAACAAAGGTTAATTGGATATAACGCACTTTATATGCAGTTTTTCTAACTTGTTATAAACTTTCATAACAAAATTGTTTATTGTTTGTTTCAGAATTTCATGATGATAAACAATGCGCTGGTGTGGTAATTATTAATATGATTTTATAAATTGCTATATGGCATTCGAAGATTCTAGAACATGTTTTGGAATTCATCAGATTTGTAGTCCTTGTGAATATTTAGTCATGTTAAGAAGGTTTCTATATTTTTTGTTTAGATCTATGCTTTATAGCTGCATCATTTAACCCATATTTTAACCAATGACATGACATAATGGCGGACGAAGAAATGATGAATCAAAATATATGGTAAAAATTCTTTGGCTGAAGTGTATCATTAATCTCATAACTTCATATAAGATTTTAGTTTGATCCTTTAATTTTATAAAGTATTTTTTCAATTCTTTAACTTTAACACTTTTAGTTTCTAATGATAACTTTTTTGTGTCAATCATGTCATTTTAAGAAATTAAAATTAGGCTAAAGCATATTTTTAATCCTCTAATTTCATATAAGATTTTAATTTAATCTCTTAATTTTATAAATTATCTTTTTAGTCCATTAACCTTAACATTATTAGTTTCAAATAATTATTTTTTGTGTCAATAATTTTTATTTTAAAAAATTAAACTCAATATGTCAACATTTGAGAATGTTTTGTAAATATTTAAAAGTTCAATATAAAAATTTGTTAGGATGAAACTAACAGTGTTGGGGTTAAAGGATTAAAAAGATATTTTATAAATTAATGGGACTAAAATAAGATCTTGTATAAAGTTAAATGACTAAATATATACTTCAGCCTTAAATTTAATATGTCAACATTTGAAAATAATTTTTTAATATTTAAAAGTTTAATGTAGAAATTCTTTTGCTAATAAAACTAATGGTCTTAGGATTATAGGACTGAAAAAATACTTCATAAAATTAAGAGATTAAAATGAAACGTTACATAAAGTTAAAGGATCAAAATATATACTCTAGCCAAGTTCTTTTTAGTTGCCAAATTCAAGAGCTTAAAGTTTAAATATGAATGCAATAAGCAATAATATTGTCTTTGGATACATGACGATTTAGATTTGAATTTGAATTTAAACCAAATGTAAAATAGTAAATCCAAATCTAAATCCATATATATTGTATTATTATTTCTTTGTAATTTTAAATTCATTTTATACCCTACTTATTTGAAATTTCACTTACTCCAACCTTCTATTTTTTATATATATTTTCACTATCCATATCTCTATTACTCTGGTCTATTCTATCATTTTCCATCCTCCTCTTTTGTCAATTGAAAAGTAGAGATAAGTTAATCATTCCTAATATTCTATTTTTGCTTGGAATATCAACTCATCTCTCTTTTTCCCTTGCAATTTTTTACATTATCCAAATAAAAAATTTTAAATATATAAATTTTAAATGTAATATTCTAATTAAATTAAAATTAAAATTAAAATTCATATCCATCAAACATATTATATATTTATATGTAATATAACATTACAAATTTCTTAATTTGAAAATAGTGTCGTTTACTATGGATTTTATATCATTTATTGATATTGATTTTAAAATTTAAGATTGAGTTTAAATGGAGAAAATTAAAATATATCTGATAATGAATTACAGTGATGAGTTGAAGGATATCTAAGACCATATTCAAGCCTTAACTTATAACTCACTCTAGGTCTAAGCAAAGCATCTTCGTAACATCAAAAGATTGATTATTATGGTAGAGAAATATAGAAAAAATGAACCGGGCTATATTCTTATCATTCTAATACTTGAATGTGCTTCAGGTCCATCAAAAGATTACAAAATGGAGACTAATATGACCTTTACGGAGGAACTTTGCATGAAGACCATAGATGATTCCGAAATGGATCATCTAATGAAGAATTACAGTTATAGGGCACCGGAGTTTAATCACAGAGCTTGGGCTTCAGAGTTAAGGTTTTTGAAAGACAAGTTGAAGATTGCAGACTCTACAAATCTTCCCTTAGCATCAAGTTGTTTCATCTATAAAGTGCCACCAAAACTTCGTAAAGTAAATGAAGAAGCCTACACTCCTAGCGTGGTTTCCATTGGCCCATATCACCATGGAGAAAAAAGATTGGAATCAATGCAAGAATTAAAAGTATGGTACGTCAACAGATTCCTCAAGAGGACCCCAGAGAAATCATTAGAGGATTATTTGAAAGCCCTGGAAGATATGGAAGACAAGATTCGTGGTGGTTATTCAGAGACCATACAGATGGAGAGAGACGAATTTGTAAGAATGATTCTAATTGATGCTTGCTTCATCATCGAGTTCTTTCTTTCATGTCTAGGCCTAGAAGACCCTTTGGTTAAGAAACTATGGCCAACAGCCGATATTAAACTTGACTTGATTTTGGTTGAAAATCAACTTCCATTCTTTGTTCTTACCCACCTTTTCGAACTAGCTTTTCCGACTGGCTTCAATGGTGAACGTTCATTTGTCAAGCTTACCTTTGATGTTTTTGTGAACGTTTTCCTGCGAGAGATATATCCTAACAAGGAAACTCATGCCAATTTTATGAGTAACTTCAATTATGATAGTCTTCATCAAGTGCAACACCTCTGCGATATGCTAAGGACCTTTTACTTACCACGTGATCCACCATCTAGAGGAGCTGACACAGCATTAATGAAGCGTTCACACAGTGTAAGTCTACTACACGAGGCAGGGATGAAATTTCAAGCTGATAAAGAAAGCAGTGTAACTAAGCTGCAATGTTTGGAGGAAATGATATTGAAGATACCAAGCATTGTGGTAAGTGATTGGACTGAGACTATGCTCAGAAATGTGGTTGCATTTGAGCAGTGTCACTATCCTCTTTCAGGCTATGTGACTGATTACGTATGCCTGCTGGATAATCTTATTGACACTGCAAAAGATGTTGAAATTCTTGTCAGAAAGAAAATCTTGGAGAACCTGTTGGCTGAGAGTAATGAAGTTGCTTCCATGGTGAACAAACTGTGCAAAAATGTCCTTGTAACCAACACCAGCACTGAGTATATCTCTCTATATGAAGAAATGGACAAGTTTTGTGATAACCCTTATCACAAGTATAAGGCAATCTTTGTGCTTGAATATTGGAGCACTCCTTGGAAAATTGCGTCTGTGGTTGCTGCAACATTGTTGCTTTTGCTCACTTTCATCCAAACAATATCTTCTGTAAATCCGCCAAAGAATTAAGCCAAAAGCTCTTGTATATATAACACCCAACTCATGATTGTATTATATTTGTTGACATTTTCTTTGTAATATCTGTATGATATTTTTATGGTAATTGTTAAAGTATGATATAGTGTGTTTGCTTTTCATTATCAAATTAAAATCAGCTCTTCATTTTTCTTTTCTGCATTATAAATACTTAATTAAAAAATATTAATAATAATTTAAAATTATAAATACTTAATTTTTTTTAAATAACCTTATGTGGCGTTACAGCAGGGAAATGCCAACTAAGGGACTTTTTATTCTTAATTAATAATCCTCAGGTGGAAATCAAATGAGGGTTTTCTATAATTTAATTTATTGTACTATATTAATAAATATTATTAATTAAATAAATTAATTATATTAACAATATTTATATTATGTTTGACACTAACGTTAAAAAATATTTTAATAATAATTATTATATTTTTTCATTTTTAATCACTAAAATCAATTATAATTTATTACTAAATAAATCCAACAATAATGATTTATCAAAATTTTAATTTTAATAATGATTACTAAATAACTAAGTTTAATAAAATGTTTCATCATAATTAATCAGTATAAATAATTATGATTACCATTAACTAAATAAAATAATAATAACAATTAATATGATAATATAATCAATCAACGTAACAAAATAAATAATATTAATAAATAGTACAAGTATGAAAATAATTAAATAATTATCATTCTGATTACGATAATAATCTTAATAATAAATAAATTAAATAATTAAATCAAAAGCTGTTAAAAGTAATTATAATTTTTAGAAAATAAATACAAAAATGGTAATAGTAATTAATGATATAAATATTTTATTTTTTAATCAACCTCAGGTGCGATTCCTTGGAAACATCGCCTGAGGTTTTTCAATTTTAGTTTATTACATTATATTAATAAAGATTATTAATTAACTAATTTAACTATACTAACAATATTTGTGTTATAATTGATACTAACAGTAATAATAATATTTTACAAATGAATAATAATGATCATTAGTATGATAGCTATATTGTATTAATAAATATAATTATAATAATAATTATTCCCTCCTTTAAAAAATATAAAGTGTTTTTAACCAAATTTTACCATCTAATAAAATAGTTATTTATCTTCAAATTAATATCATCTTTTTATATTTACCCCTATTTAATATTTCACTTTAAAATAAATATAAAGTGATTTATTTATTTGGGATATTTTTTGAAAAATTGCAATGACTACATATTGAAACACTAAAATTTTTTTAACATCCAACTCTTTAAAAAATATCTTCATTATAACTTGAATGATGTTCAATTTTTTTTTTTGCAAATCCAAAAACATAAAAATTAAAATTTGAAAAATCTGCTTCTACAATATATCTGTTATATATATATATATACTCACATATAATTTATTTCTTTGCCTCTAAAACTTAATTTAATAATTTTTTATAATATATCAAATTCATATTCTCTCTTTTTACATCAAATTATTAATTATACACCCTTAACTGAAGAGAAATCACCGTTTCACTAAAAATATTGATAAATATCATGTTATTAAATAAAAGAGCAAACATAACAGAGAATTTACAATTTTATTTTCATCGGCGTTGGAGGAAGTGAATTAAACTTTACCATTTCCACGCATTTTGATTGTTTTCGTTTTTTAGAGATATTTCAATATTAGTAATTTTAAATATACTTGTCCATCCTGAGAAAATTTCATTTGTAGTCCCTTCAAATATCAAATATATTAATTATAAAATAAACTGTATAAAAATATATTAAAATATATTTCACTATAACGCCACATACACGCGTTTTTCCTCTTGAAATTGTTACTATTGAAATATTAAAATTAATTCAAATGAATTTATTATTGAAATTGTATCATTTGCTTCTGGAATATATCTTTTCTATATATTCAGATAACATTTATTTCTTCACCTCTATAGACAATAATTCAACTTTAATAACATTTTTTTTATACAATGTCGAATTTAGTTTTCCTCTTCCCTCGTCAAATTATACCCGTCGATGGACGGAGAAGTCATCGTTGACTAAAAAATTTGATAAATCTCATGCCTTCAAGTAAAAGTTTATATTTCAATTTTAATAATTTTAATAATTAAATGTCAACTATCAAGAGAATAAACATAAAAAATTATATTTAATATTTTTAAGCATATATTTTAACAACCAATCAAATGCCTCCTACAAGATAATTTGAAGAGTATAATAGATAGATAGATGATAAACAATACAGAAGAAGATATATAGATTTTATTTTTTGGGCCAAAATGATAGATAGATAGATAGATAGATAGATTACTCTCTTAAATGTTGACAAATGCATGTTTCTTATGGACGCGAGATTGATTAGAATATGTGCCTGGATTCAAACTCGTGGCTTTACTTGCGAAAACAAAACACTATCACCACCAAGCCACAAAATAAAATTATCGTTAACAGAGATATAGGTTCAAATGCTGGTAGACCAAAACAAAGAAAGAATATTATCCTGCTGTTAAATAATGTAGATGAAATATTCAAATCACTTTTCAAATTATTCACAATCATCGTATTTTCTTCATTCTATTAACCTTTTTGGTTTTAAATGTTGTGCATAATTTATATATTTTGGTTGTCACTTGTCAAAATTAGGACCCGTATTTTTTTCCCTTATATATTCTTTTACATTTATAAATTATCTTTTAAATATTATAGCTCATTGATATTCTCCGTATTTATATTCGTAAATGAAGCTTTAACATTCTAATAACTATTTGTTTTGAATATTTTTAAAAATAAACACAAGAGGTTATTTCATGTGCTTTCTATTTTTCTCTTTCAATGCTTAGTCTCATTTTAATGAGGATAAGCCAAACGAGGTGTTATGGTCAGATATTTAAACGAGGTTATTTCAAATTTAATTTAAAAATTAAAAGCATGGAAAAAACTAATATTTAACAAGTCGATTATTCGATTCAGTTTGAATAATTAAATTTGAAAGCTTGAGATGTTATGGTCAGATTTGGCTATATAAATTTTAATCTATCTTCAGTATTTTAAACTTAATTCGAATAAATCCAACCTAAATTAAACCTAACTTTCCTGATTACCAATTTACCTATATGCGATGCACAAACAGATTTGAATTCAGTAAGTAGTCTAAGTGTTCAGTTACAGCTGTTGAATTTTATTAATACATAAAAGTTATCAAGATATATTTTACTCTAAAAATTCAAAAACAATTATCATGAACAAAAAAACTCCTTACTTATGTTATTCCCTCTAAAAATTTGAGATTTAATTACTTTTTTATTATTATATGACAATTTTTGACAGCCATTCAATTAAATCAAACTATTGTTATTATGCCATATACAAAAAATATTCATTGAGTAAGCATATGAAGTTGTCAAAATCGAGAGTCAAAGTAAACTCACGAAAGATAAATAAACTCATATAACATACATAAACTCATATCATAAAATCATAACAGCTTATTTTTTTGATAAATAACTATTAAAATAATAAATATATTAAATTAAAATATAATATAAATGTAATACCTTATCTAATTAAATAATTAATATTTGTTCACAAATAATCGCTGCGTATAATCATTTATTTATTACATGTAATTTATTTTTTTATATTGAAATCATCTTATTTATTTATTTATTTATTTATTTATTTTTACGTGTTGATCCCTTGATTTAATGCTTTACGTCGGGATATCATAATTCTTTTTTACGTGTTCGATAATTTGCTTTGGATTAATTAAAGCCCAATTGTGCACCTAAGTATATGCTAATTTTAAAATAATATGGAGTTTAATTGACATATTAAAATAATATAATTAATATATATATATATATATATATATAAACACATATTAAAAGTGATCTCATAGCTTCATGGTTAGAAATTCTCTCACACCGTTAGTCCTGATGTCTTGCGTTCAAATTCTGACGCATTTCTTTTATTAATTTATAGTATTTTAATATATTTCTTTAGGCTAACGGTGTGAGAGAATTTCCAAATGAACTGGTGAAAAAATATCATTAGTCCTGTGTAAGAACATCTCGCAGATTGCCTGCTGTGAGAAATATTTTTTTTATTAATTTATAATTTTCCCTGTACTTTCTGACAAACATTTTTTGAGAGAATGGTTGGTGCCAATTTCGCGTTTAATGGCACAAACTTCTCTCAGATTTTCTCACAAATTTCTCTCAAACATTTCCTGCAAATATTGGCCATGAGAAACATCGAAGAGAAGGTATATAAATTTTGTGTTTCCGCGAGAAAGGTCATGAGAAGTTCTCTTAAATATCGTTCTGTGAGAAGTGTTCGAGACAAAATCTGTGTTTTCTTGTTTGAGCAACCATCAAAATATATGGGAGAAAAAGTAAACCGATCAAAGCTAGTGAAAAAATCAATTAAAACCAGATAAGAACTAGTTTTCAATCCTAAAACTATGTTATTTTATATGTTTATTTATCTCTTGATTGGTTATTTTGGTAACATGCATATACACACACATACATCTCTCGACTCTCGTGGTTGGTTTTAATTTGACAGCATTGATAAATAATATGACTCCTATATATATAATGCAATCAAAGGCACTAAAAACAATGTGTGTGTGTGTTTTTGTCGTTACTATTAAGTGTTCTTCTTTATTTTAACTTCCTCAAGATCAACGAAAAGCTTCAGGTTCATTACCTCTTTCTTTTACCATTTATTTTCATGCATGTCTTATAATTTTCTGCCATTAAATTTGTACTATATATGCTGATTTTGAGTTTATGTGTTATTGGTGATCTCTTTATCACATCTATATTCAGTCAGTCTTCAATATCGATTCAAAAGTTTAGGAGAAGCAACGAAGAATTTTTTTAAAAAAAAATGTTATATACATAAAATTTAGTGAGTGAATGAAAATGTGTGTTCTAAAAACTCCAAGAATTAAATGGGACGCCCAACTGCTTTTTACATGAAGAACATGCACTTCTACGAAACAAGTTGCAGGAATTAATG